AAAGTCATCACTAATAAGACAAATCAGTATCAAGTGTCTCCTGACATTAAACACTGAGGCAAGCCCAGGTCACTTCTCTGGTATTCATGCTAAAAATGCATTAAGTCATGAGGAAACACCAGACAAACCCAACTGATGGGCATTCTGTATACAAACGATGTGGCCTGTATTCTTCAAAAATGCCATGGTCACAAAAGATAAGAAAGACTGAGGAACTATTCCAGATTGAAGAGTAGATGAAAAGAAATGTTAAGTATATGATCCAGAGTATAGCCTGGACCTACAGAGGACATCATTAGATGATCAATGAAATCTGAATGGAGTTCTGGACTACATGGTAGTACTGTTACCTTCCTGAGAGGAGAGTGTCCATGTACTCAGGAAATACACACTGAAGTACTACAGGGTAAAGGACATATGTCCACAACTTATTCTCAAATGGCTTAGAAATGCTAAAATTGGGGAATCTGGGTGAAAGGTACATGGGAGCTCTATATACTCTTTCCACAAACTCTATATAAATCTGCATTTACCTCCTACACACAAAAATAGTTTTAAAAATAGAAGGACCTGTGAGTCAAAGCATCGCCGGTTTGATTCCCAGTCAGGGCACATGCCTGGGTTGCAGGCCATATCCCCAGTATGGGGTGTGCTAGAGGCAACCATACATTGATGTTTCACTCCCTCTTTTTCCCTCCCTTCCCTATCTCTCTAAAAACAAGTAAATAAAATCTTTAAAAAGATAGAAAATTGTACTGCAACAACAATTAAAATAAATTTTTTTTAAAAATCCCCCCAAAAAATCTCTTAAAAAATAAAATAAATAATAAAAGGAGAGGGACAGCAAAACAGTTCTGTGATATATTCATAACAAGCAGAATAGCCATGCTGTAAGTGAATTTAGCTCCTCTCTGGGATATAACTACTATTTAAGACCCTCTACTCTCTGTGAAGTCCCAATTTCCCTCTTCTACAGTACAGTGGATCAGACTGTCTTTTCAATAAATTGGCATGAATTTACTGAATGTCTCTGTATTAAGAAGAAAAATCTTGAACCTCACATCATACATAAACCTTAATTCCTGATAGACTATAGATCTAAATTTAAAAGATAAAATAATAAAGATTCTAAAAGTATTATGAGGTCATCCTTCATAGCTTGGTAGGAGATAAAGATGTCTCAGTATACACAAAAGCACTACCATAAGGGAAAAGACAAATCCAACCTCATTAAAATAAAGAATTTCTGTTCATCAAAATGCACCATTAGGTATATGGAAAGATACTTGTAATACATGTAGCTGACAATGGATACAAATCCAGAATATGTAAGAATGCTACAAGTCAAAAAAAATAGAACTTAAAAAATAGACAATGCAGTTTCTAACGGGAAAAATATTTCAAACAGCACTCTACAACAGAGGAAAGCCAACAGGCATCTGAAAATGCTACATTCGTTATTAAGAAATGCAAATTAAAACCACAATGAATACAGCTATGTCTTCCCCTCATGAGAATTGCTAAAAAGTCTGAAGATACTATATGTTGGCAAGGAAGAAAAAATGATGTTTGACATGATGTATGTATTATTATGTATGTAATTTTTTAAAGTAGGAACTTGGAAAGGGGCAAACCTTCATTTGCTAATTCGTTCAAGAGACACAGATTCACTAAATCAGGGAAGGGCCCTGATGTTGCTGGATGGCAACATCTATTCACGACTTGATCCCACTCCTGATTAGCAAGGGAGTTTTGACTGGCTCTGTTTCTAACCTTGGCTGTTTCACCCCCACTCAGGCCACCTGGTGACCACCACTGTATTGATCTTGATCAGTACAGGGCTCAAGCAATGCTTCAGCTTCCTGAGGTGCTGGGACCACCAGCACACACCACCTTTAGGTATTATGTATATTTTTTGTCATCCTGGCCCTTTTATTGCTTATTAAAAAATAAAAGATACTTAAATGTAATGGCGAACATATACTGCAAAACAGAGTGACGAAACTTAATACTGAATTAAGCAGTGAGCTGAATGTTTGGGTCTCCATAATGGGTAACCTGAAACTGCTTAAAATGGATACATTCAGAAAATGGCAATTGGCTTATAGGTGAGTGAACAATCAAATTGTTCTTGTCAAACTTCCAGGAAAGTTCCCTCCTCAAAAACATACTTTAATTGCTACTGCAATTTACTATTAAATCTAGCCAAAATTGTGTTGGTCTTTTTATTGCATCTAATTGATGCCTAAATAGCTTTTTTACTTTTTTCCCAACAGATGGAGAAATAGAAGCTTGTGATGCAAGGACAGCATCTAAGACACTTGTCTTCTGTGACATTCACTGACTTCTGGCCTTAATTTGTCTTCTGATTTAAGCATGAACACATATATAACCTATGACCCAATAATTCCAATCCTACATACATCCCCAAAAGAAATGTATACAGACAATAATGATCACAACACTATTATTTCTAGTTAATAACCCCAAACTGGAAACAGCCCAATTGTCCATCAACAGTACAATGACTAAGTAAGTTGTGGCATGTTCATACAACAGAATACTACAGAGCAATGAAATAGTAACCATACTGTTAAACAACACAGATGGATTTCACAAATATAACATTAAGAAAACCAAACTATTAAGTGTATGATTCCAACAAACAGGCACAACAAACTAAGATATCAGAAAGCAGAAGAGTGTTCCCTCTGGAGTTGTGTGTAACCGCTAATGGCATGATGGAGGCTGCTGAGGTTCTGGTAAAGCCTGTGGAACTGATAAAGTAATCAGAGAGCAAAAATCCATCAAAGTTCTACAACTGGAATGTGTGCACTTGCCAGTACATACTGTATTTTAAGTGTACCCCCAAAGTCTCATTCTCTCAGCTCACTGTAACTTTCTTTCAACAGCTGAAACTCCTCTCCACTGGCCCTCCAGACTCAGTCCTATTTCCTTCCTCTGGCTCCTTGCTGGTGTGCTCCTGCAATAACCCTTGGAGGTGGACCTGACCCAGACCTCAGCACACACCGCTCTTCATTCATACCATCCTCTCTGCAGAGCACTGCATTTGCATGGCTTCAACCACTGGATCAGGAACACCTGTCCTGCTCCATTCCAGCTGCCAATCCCAACACCCCTGCAGAGCAGAGGCATGGTATTCAGTGCACATGAGTTTCTTTCCTTCTCTCTTCATCCATAAACTATGGCAGTGGTTTCTTAACTGATCATGTTTCCATTCACATGTCAAATTGAACTTCCTAAAATGCTTTTTTAAACATATTAAGTGTTTAAAGTGTTCCAGCTCATAAATATTAATCCATCAAACCTCAATAAGTCCTCACTTAACACTATCAATAAGTTCTCTGTCTTTAATATAAACATTGTATAAGGAAACCAATTTACCATACACTAAGTGATATAAATAAGAGTTAAGTTCCTACAGCATCTAATGAAACGTTATTCGAGGACCTGCTGTATAGATAAAACTTAATCTCCTAGGACTGGCATTCAAGTCCATCACAATCACTCCCTAAATACATCTTCAGTCTTATCTCTTAATAGTCACTTACCTGCTCTAGCTAAAAACCATCTACAAAACTTTTTTAAACCAAACCCACTGTCTAGATTCCAACTCCAATGCCTTTCCTCACAGTACTCCCTCAGAGTATTCTTTCCCCTCCTCCATACCAGTCAAGGCCCATATCTCACCTCCACTACCTCAGTCCACGTTTATCACTACTTACAATACTAATGGCTGTTATTATCCACTTGGTACTTAATCTTTACCATTGAGTTATGTGTTTTATGTACACAACTGTGAAATATTTTATTTTATACTTCTTAGATATATAAAAGTTCTTAATAAACAGAGGTAGTGGTGGGGTACTAATGATCCACCAGTAATCTAAAGTAATTTTTGAAAATTAAGTAAGTAGGTAACCTCTTACCAACTTTAAACTGAATAGAACAAGGTTTTTTTTCTTTATGGTAATAATGTTTTGGCTTATTTAAGCTTACTTAAAAATATTGGAATCAGTTGAACAGAAGCAAAAAGACCAGTAATAGGATAGTCATAGAGTTCTGGAAAGAGCAGTCCTTACAAGAGGAGACTGTGACCACCTAGCAGGTACCTCACGAGAAAGAAGTGTTTAACTTGATTATGAGCATGCATGCGAACTATAATTAGGTTATAGAGTCACTGCTAGCAGGCAAAATGTCTTTTTGTATTCCATTGCAAAAATATCGAAAGCAACATTGGTCAGAAGGTAACTGCTTGAATTAATAAGTTACCGAACAAGTACATAGATAAAGGGCTGGTACTAAGCTTTTGAAACTTTATTAATGTGATATTGTCAATTCATACACTGTGTCCAATACAAGTTTGCTTCTCCCCAATAAATCACTGGACATATAATGTTGTTGGTATTATAAACAATCAGAACAACTTTTTAAAATTATTATTAGGAGCTTAAAATTAGAACATTCATTTACTTAGCACTATATTAGTCACACATGGGTTTTTTTTTTATTTGTGGGTTTCTTATTAAATTTCATATAAATGTTCTAAACTGAATATCGGTCATTTCTACACCAATAAAAAGAAAAAAGATGCTTTGGCTACTTTTATAATTTTTTATTAAAGAAAGAATACGAACTTTATTAAATTTTACATTATATATTGAAAAAGAGAAATTGATCATTTCTATCTTTACTTTAGAAAAAACTCAACCTTATTTTCTGTTCCTTGTATCCAAATTTCCCTTCACCAAGATTTAAAAAGCTAGTAATGTGTCATTAAAGTATCTACTAAAGCAAATTTTTTAAATAATTGCAATTACCTTTTTCATTCTCTCACCTTAGTTATGATGCACCTGTCTTTTTCATATGTACTATCAATACACCTGTTAACTACACAACTGGACTGCTAGAATGAACAATACAGAGACCAGCCCACACAGAAGATATAACACAATAGAAGGAAACGAGTTTGGCCATACCTGGGTTATTATTAACATTACTTTTGGGTGGTTTCTGAACTGGTTTGGGAAGTGTAGATTCAGCCAAAGCTTTATTAGCAACAGCTTGTTGGGCCTTCTTGATACTGCTGCCTTCCGATTCCCATGTCTGCTCACCAAGACTCAGTTGCACTGAGAACATCTTAGAAAAACATAAAGAGAAAGAAAAAAATTAAAATTTTTCAGAAAATCAAATGTGCTGTCTGACAGACAAATTGATACACCATAGAATCAACATTTTAGAGCTACAGGTGACCTTACAGATCATTTGCAACAAAATCTTATTCTACCTCATGAAAGAATTTTAAAAGATTGTGCCAAAGTCTGTTCTGTCCTATCCAAATGCTTAAAAGCATGTATGTACATTTTGGGTAGAGTAAGTCAAGAAGAAATCACTTCCCTAAATAGGATTAAATTGTTAATGCCATTCAAATAGTCCTCAAAAAAGTAGAATCAGTACAAAAAATTAAGAGAAACTGTAAGAGAATCCAAAAGGCCCTGTCTCTGTAACACTTTATAAAATCAAATTCCTTAAACTAATTGATTAAACTTGATCAAGTCAGTGAGCCAGAAAATCCTATCAAATATTATTTCACCAAGACACTCTGAATCCTCCACAACCAACGTTTAACCAGTCACCAAAATCTGTCCATTTTAACCTCATAAGTATTTCTCAAACCTCTCTCTTCTGTCTGCCAGTCACACTGCGTTGGAGTCAATCTTTCATCATCTTTAGCTCAGACATAATAATTTCCCAACTGATTGCTGCTTAACTATCTTCCTAAAACTCAATCCAATTGCATCACCCAAACCGAGAGAGAGCAAGTTAAAAACCTTCAACTGTTCATGTCTAGCCTGGCATATTATAGGCTCCACCTGTCAGTCTTCACTTCATACCCATCTCCCCCCTTGGCTAACCTTCCATTCAGATATTTCCTTATGAGCCCCAAACCTACTGTTCACCTTGCAAATTTAGAATAAAGTTACAGGACAACACATAAAATCCACTATTTTACTCCACATATAGTTAGTTATACTGTCTAGGAATACAAAGTATTAACCCCAAAATACTTATTAATTATAAAGAAATAAATGGTTCTTTGCAGGAAGGAGATCAGGGAAAAAAATACCTTAAACAAGGTATTAAAGCATCTGTAATCACACTAACTAACATCATGAACCTTCTGATATGATCTAGTGAGAAGCTGTAAAATTCTTGACCAAAAAAATTTAATCTGTATTTAAACATAGGAAAACAAGCAGACAGAGCTAGATGATGGTATGTTCTATAAGACAAGTGGGCCTAACACTTCAGTAATGACAATGTCATGAGAAGAAAAAACAAAAGAATAATAGCTATTATGGATGAAAAGATGTTAAAGAAACATGAAACCATATGACAAAGTACAATGTATGAACCCTAATTGGATTTGTACTGGGAAGACAAACTAGTAGAAAAGGCATTTAGAGAACAGCTTAGGGAGTTTGACTATAGACCACATACAGGGTATGACAAACATAGGTTTGCAGTTTTAAGGACACGAAACACAGTTTATTCTTGTATTATTATTTGTTAATTATTGTATCATTTCCTATATGAACAACTGTAAACCTACTTTTGCCCCACTACATTAAATTAATATATTCAAAGTCAAATTTCTTTTTTTTTAAAGATTTTATTTATTTTTATTTTTAGAGAGGGAAGGGAGAAAGAGAGAGAGAGAGAAACATCAATGTGCGGTTGCTGCGAGCCACGGCCTACAACCTAGGCATGTGCCCTGACTGGGAATTGAACCTGCGATGCCTGGTTTGCAGCCCGCGCTCAATCCACTGAGCTACGCCAGCCAGAGCATCAAAGTCAAATTTCTTGAGTGATGATACAGTACTGTGATTATATAGAAGAATGTTTTTGGTTTTATAAGATAAATAAGAAAGAATAAATAAGAAATGTCATGATAAAATTTATTTTCAACTTGTTCAAGGAAAAAGTGTATGGCTATGTACAAGAAGCAAGAAATAAAGTAAATGTACTAAAAAGTTAATGATTAGTAAATCTGAAAGACAGGAGTATCCATTGTACTACTCTTTCCATTTTTCATGTAGGTTTACAGTTATTTAAAATACTTAGTTGGAAAATATATACAATCACTTGAAATTCAAAATATGTGCATATCTGTTAAAAGTGATTAATTTTTCTTTTATTCTGATTCAGTTTAAAATGTATACCTAAAACATATCTTAAAGTCATTTACCTAATTTTAAAACATTTTGTCCATGATAATCTCTTTTTTAAAAAATTATAGTATTTAACAAAGATCTCTGCCACAAAGGTCACCTTCTCCATTCTCCTCCTAATCTCTAATCAGTTCACAGCCCAGAATGTTGCATCCATTATTCTTCATTAGTCAGGTTCAAAACCTCAATAACTTCTTTGTTTACCCTTGCCTTCCTAAGACTTATTTAACAACATCTCAAAACTTCCTTGAAATCTCCATTGTCACCACCAAGTCTCAGGACCCTGCAAACTTGGACTCAGAATACTTCATTTACCCCTTGTTTCCTATCTTTCATATGTCACCATTTTCCAAGTCTCACAGGCCAGACACCGTTGAGTGGTCTATCTTGTCTCCTCTGTTTCTCTCTCCATTTAGTCCTGCATCCAATTATCAAACTACTGACTCAACTTCAAAAATGTTTTTCAGATCTTGACTCCTTTCTTTATACTCCTTGCCAATGTCTTAGTGAAGAATATCAATCTTTCCCTTAAACAACTGAAAGGCCATCCTAACATCATTCTCTTAACATAATACTTTCCCATTCAAACTCTCCTTCTTACCACCATCAACATGAACATTCTATAAACTACAAATGTTTCCTAGTCAATCCTCTGCCTTTCTGAAACCTGTTAAGAATCCCACTGCACTATATATCTAAAATTAATACAATATTACATGTCAATTATATCTAAATGAAACTGGAGGGGGGGAAAAGAATCCTATTACAACAAAAATTTAATAATTTCAAGTAGGAATCCTGAAACACACTGCAATTAAGTCATAGCACCACCATTTATTATATGCAACATTAGGGAAGTAATTTATTCTTTCTCTGCTTTTTTACTTTAGTGAAATGGTGCTAATAAAAACACAAAGGATGACTGTGAAAATTAAAACAAAATGATGTAAATGACTCCATTTAAAAGGTATAGATCACAGGTGGCAAACACAAGGCCTGTGGGCCAAATCTGGCCCTCCACCTTGTTTTATCCCACCTGGCACCTTGTTTCTACCAGGCAGCAGCACCAAGGTCCTTGCCCCTAGTTAAGGAGTAGTTACATTTACACAGTCCTAAAATTCTATCCAGCCCTTTGAAGGCAACTGCGAGGCTGATATGGCCACTGGTGAAAATGAATTTGACACCCCTGCTATAGATAGTCAAACTGGATTTTAAAAAAAGCAAAATCCAACTCTACTACCTATAAGTAATAGACTTCAAATATCAAGACACATATAGATAAAAAGTAATGGGATTGAAAAAAGATACCCTAATATAAATTGATGAAAAATCAGAATAGCTACATTAATATCAAAGTAGATCGGTGCAATGACTATTACCAATGATAACAAAGGTAATTTCATCAGAATAAAGGGGCCTATTAATCAAGATGTAATAATATTAAATATTTAGGCAGGTAATAACACAGCTTCAAAATCTATGAAGCAAAGCTCTTTCCTTTTGCATCATCACAGAAGCACAAGGGGCCAAAATGAAGTTCAATAACTTTGTGACTTCTGACCAGAGCAAGGACTGTAAAAGGCTTTTCAGTGTACCTTCCCACATTCCAAAAAGCTGAAACAGAAGTACAATGTTCAATCCATGCCCATCTGAATGGATGATGAAGTTCAGATTGTGCAAGGACACTACAAAGGGCAGCAAACTGACAAAGTAGTCCAGATCTGCAGGAAGAAATATGTCATCTACACTTGAAGGAGTGCACCAGGAGAAAGCTAATGGAAAAACTGTTCGTGTGGGCATTCACCTTAGCTGGGTGTTTATCACTAGACTAAAGCTGGGCAAGGACCAGAAAAAGATCTTGAACATATTGCCAAGTAGAAAATGAAAAAGGTAAACACAAGGAAGAAACAATTGAGAACATGCAGGAATAAAGTACTCTTATATACAGTGTTCATTATAAACTGGTAAAATGAAAAAAATATCTATGAAGCAAAAACTAATAGAACTTTACAGAGAAAATCCACAAGTCAAGTGAGAGATTCAATGCCCACTCTCAATAACTGACCTAACAATTACCAAGTAGACAATAACTGACCTAACAATTACCAAGTAGACAATCTCAAAGAATGTAGTAGACTTGAACAACACCCAATGAACATAACCTGAATGACAGTTTTAGAACACTCTACACAAAAAGAACAGAATATACATAAGTTCTCAATTTCCCATAAAACATTTACCAATTTCTTGCCTATACAAGAAAAGAAGCAAGATACCAAATTAGTTCATCTTTAGCTTCCATCTTAAGAAACTGGAAAAAAAAATTAAATCTGAAGTAAACAAAAAAATAAATTATTAAAGATAAAAACAAAGCTTAAAACAATGAAAAACAGGAAAACAATACAGAAAAAAATTAATAAAAACAAAAGCTCATTGTTTTTTGCAAAGATGAATGAAATTAGTAAACCTCTAGCAAGAATAATCATGAAAAAAAGAGAAGACACACATTACCAATATCAGGAATAAGAGAGTTGACATTGCTATAGATTCTTAAAGTATTCAAAAGATAACAAGGTAATATTTTCTAACAACTTTATGACAATAAGTTCAACAACTTAAGTTCCTTGAAAGACACAAATTACTAAAGCTCTTTCAAGAAGAAACATTGTAGATAACCCCAACAGTACAATACAAGTCAAAGAAAATAAGTATCTTGTTAAAAGTCCTTCCAGAAAGAAAACTCCAGGCCCAGAGGGGTTCAATGATAAATTCCACCTAATATCTAAGGAAGAAATAATACCACTTTACACAAACTCTTCTAAAAATTAAAGAAGGAACATTCCCTAACTTATTCTATGAAGCCAACATTACTTTGATACCAAAAACTAGAGTATGATACTACTAAAG